ACAGTTACTGAGGTTAGTTGCGTTTCCAAGTGGAGCATGGACTCACGTGCATCCGGGCTAAATTCAGTTGTGTGGCTGTAGGTCAGCGTGTCGGGGCTAGAATTCTTTTGTGTCAGGAGCCTTTGTAGCGGAACTAAATTCCCTTGAGTTGTTTCAGCTCCAGAGCAAATAAGTTGATCAGTGACGGTTAGCCACAGATTCTAGGAAGTGGAGCAGGGTTACTACACTCCTACTGCCTTCCGATCTCCCACTGCATACATTTCCCTACGACTGGGCAGTAGAAGTTAATTTTCTGTTTTCAAAATTCGTACGATTAGGTATAAAAAGATGAATACACGTCGCGCCACCCACTGACTTAGGCAGTCGCCCACGCCGAGAGGCTGTTACATCAGCGCCCCTCTACCGATCGCAACCTGCAGGACAACGAGCCCGTGCCTCACCGGTCAGGGGCGTCGGACTTCTAACCAACAGATCGCAGGATCGAACCCCAGTTGTTGCGCACCTCGGGGTTGGGTATGGCCAACTGAAGGTGGCTAATCAGTCAAGAAATGACTGGCTAACGATGGCTAATAAGCCATACCACTCCGGAGGACCCTTATGAGCCAGGCAGCACGAACCAGACCTAGCCCCTCCCCCCTCACGGTCCATCGAAATAAATGTTTACACGTCGCTGCACTCTAGCAGTCTCTGATGATGAACTCCAGGTCGAGTTCGAAAACTAAGGCCAATAAATCTACCGTCCCAGTGACCGTGGCATCGTCTTTTAAAAAAGGACTTGGGATCCGCATATTCTCCTCCATTCGTAAGCCATAAATGCCCATTCCAGTCTCCCTTGTCTTTGTTAGTAATGCCGCTCTGTCTATCGTATGTTCTGTACAAATGTCACTAAGTTGGGCCTGCGATTGCAAGCTGTTCGTAGAACCGTTCACGACGCAGTTATATTTAGTCTGAGAACTGACTGGCAATTAAAATATACTGCTTCTATGTGTAGGGATGAACTTCCTATTATTTTCCACGCCTTCTGAATATCAACTCCGATTAAGAAACTGCCTCCGACTAGAAATGCATTCGAAGCATCTCCTCAATGTTTTACGATAATCGATTCGGAAATTAACATAGATGCGACCTTTTCTTTCTTTGGGCCTCTTACCTCTGAGAACCTCCTCCAGATTAAGGGAGCTCTACAGCATGCACCGTATTGTGTAGATTTCCAACACCTCTATCAGGTCTCTGTTTTCACTTTAGTGCGGGGTGTCGCTTGAAGAGTTTAGCCGGAGTTCTTTCACTCCTACCCATTTTGCAGACTCTAACGCATCCCACTTCGGCAACGATCGGGTAAAGGACCCTAATTAACTGTCGGTCGACTGCGGATCGTGTGCAGATGTATGGACTTGCGAAATCTAGTTGTACATAAATGCGGAGAAACAAAAAAGGGAACTCAACTAAGCCTGAATTGAGGGATAACAGAAGTGTCTGCCAGGGGATAGACTCAGTTTTTAGATGATCAAGATGGGAGGCCATGCAATATCCAGCAAGATACCGTATCTGCACAGATTCATTATTCACCTCTAAA